AAGTCGGTTTTATTTCTTTGTGTTTTCCAGGCAGTCAATTGCCCAAGGAGAGGACCTTTATTAGGACCACTAGAACCATCCGAACCCCACGAACCACCAGAGGCAGCACCATCAGGGGCAGCAGCAGGCGCGGCACCACCATGCTGCCGCAGCAGTACTGCCTGAGGTGGAAGTACCACCATAGCAATCTGCAGACCATGTTCTCCCAGCTCCTGGATCGCGGATGCTTCTGCGACGTGACCTTGGCCTGCGAGGGCCAGCTCATCCGCGCCCACCGCGTCGTCCTCTGCGCCTGCAGCACCTTCTTCGACACCGTGCTCTCCAATTACGCCAGCGAACGCGATCCGATCATCATTATGAAGGACGTGACCTTTGCGGAGGTCAAGTGCCTCATCGAGTTCATGTATAAGGGGGAAATCAATGTGGAGCATGTGAGTTGGAGCCAAGTTAATCAAAAATATTCCCAATTCTGTAAAGTTTAGTTTTAAAATATTTTTCATTATATATTTATATATCCTACAGAAATCACAAGCGTTATGAAACTATTTAAAAAGGTGTGAAAAAGTATGCAAAAATATATTTAAAATCTAGAAGTCTTTTTTTTTTTTTTTTTTTATTGTCGCCGGAATCGTTCAGGGCCATCTGAACATAACCGGTCGTTTAGAGGATTTGTTTCGTTAGTGACGTTAATGTTTTATTGCATACTTTTGGAGACCGTTCGAAGAGCTTTCAAAACCCCAGTGATTTCTGTGGCACACACCATAAATGATACATATATCTTAATCTTATCTAGGAACTTTAGATATTAAATCAAAAAATATTTTACATGTTTATATGATAATATTCATCTAAGGCTTAACAATCTTTATTACACCATGCGTAAAATCTTTGAAAATGTATCTTAAGTATGCTATAAAAAATGTATAGTCGTTATTTAGCCTGTACTCATTAGGCTTCCAGGTCTTAAAAAATGGTATAGCATGCTTTTGTGCACCTCTTAAAACCTCTTGTTTCATACAGTGATTAAGTGATAAATCCCCGGAAAGTAATCCCTTAATTACACCATCTTTTGTGTTCCGTAGGCCAGTCTGCCGTCGCTGTTGAAGACCGCGGATGACCTGAAGATCAAAGGGCTGGCCGAGGTGACCTGGCGCGATGACGAGGACGGTCCGCCGCCTCCGATGCCTGCCGCCGAGTTCCACTCGCCGCCGCGCAATCTGGCGGAGAGTTACGCCCAGGACCTCATCCTCCAGCACCACCAGCAGCAACCCCAGCCACCCGGTCCACCCTTGCATCTGCACAGTTCCACGATCCTGGACAGAGATCGCGACCGGGAGCGGGATCGTGATCGTGATCGGGATCGGGAACGCCTGTCCCCAGGAATGGAGAGTGTGCTTGGTCGCATGCCCGTGATGACGCCGCATCCGGGGACCTCGGGTTCGGGCGGAGTGGGCGCGATAACCGGGGGCACATCGCTCGAGGGCGTGGCACCCGTGGAACACTTCCTGGGTCCCAAACGCAAGCGGGGACGTCCGCCACTAGACGACGCCTACGACGTGTTCAATGTGTAGGTTTAAGATCTCTAATTTTCTTTTTTTTATTTGTTTTATTAACACAAACCATCATTTTTTTTTTTAAATGCATCATTTTGTTTTAAATTCGTCATATTTTTGTGTAATTGGGTAATCCATTTTAATTTAATTTTCAGATAGTCAAATGAAATATTAAATAAAAATGTCATAACAATGGATAAAATTATCAAAGCGAAAAATCTTATTATTATCTTACATGGACTAACTACATTTTTATTGACCACTGTTGAAATAGGATTTTTTTATGTTAAATAAGCATTTTTTTTTAATTTGTTCCCTTTGAATTTGTTTCTTTTTGTGCTTCACAGACGCAAGCTGGCCCAGTATGCCGCCAATTTGGAGCCTGCCCAGCGTGCCTATTTGGAGACGGCGCGTCACTTTGTAGAGGACCCGCCCCTGGCCGCCCATGCCGCCTCGATGGCCTCCCCGCCCGCCGCCTGCCCGCCCAAACAGCGCCAGCGTCTACGTCACCAGCAGCAGCAACAGCAGCAGCAACAGCAGCTCCTCCAGCCGGAAGCTGGTGACCAGGAGCCGTCGGCTGTTGCTGGTCAGGATTGGTCCAATTCGGAGCCGAATGGCGGCTCTACGCCCAAGAACCTTAGCGATGGCGAGTTGGCCAACAAACCGGAAACGGAAGCCGGCGATGAATCGCAACCGGAAGTACTCCCCACCAGTACCAGTGCCTCCAAAAAGCTGGAGAAGATCAGCGAGCGACGCGAACGTCATGGCAAGTTGCGTCATGCCCGTCGGCTGTACGAGAAATCCGGAGAGGATGAGCTGGAAGTGGACACGCCGCCCAAGGAGGAACCCGACGAGCTGCCACAGCCGCTGGAGGAGATCGAGAATGAGCATCTGGTGGCGAACAGGGCGGAGTCGCCACGTCCAACGGTCGTAATACCGGCCAGTTTTGCCTGCAAATACGAGGGTGGCTCCGGATCTGGATCTGGATCTGGATCTGGTGGCTCCTCCTATTTGATCAACGAGCACGGCATGCTGATGGCCCACGAATTTGGACCGAATGTGGCCAGTGCCGCGGCCACCGCTGCCGTGGCCGTTGCAGCCGCCGCCGCCGCAGTGGCAAATGCCTCAGCCGGAAATGGCAGTGGAAGCGGCAACGGGGGCCAGATGGATCCATCTGGATCCAGTGGACTGTCCGCCGCCGACTATCCCGACATCAAGCTGGAGGACTACGATGCCGCCGAGCTGCGGCTCACAAACGAGGAGCTGTCGCAGTGGCAGGACGTCATCAAGATGGACGACTATCTGGCCAAGGGGCGGCGTCCACAGTTCTGGGAGGAACCCTTTACCAAGCGTGTAAGTTTTAATATTATACATATATTAATGGGGATTTTTTCCAGTGACTCTTTGAAAGTCTTTTCCGAATTTAATTAATTTTTTTCTTAATTTAATTAACTATAATTTTATTAGTTTTAAAAATACATATATAAAAGACTGTGCGTTTATAAATAATTAAATATAAAAATTCAAATTGATTTTAGCAATACAAGTTCACTAGTCTAATATTTAAATGACGAATACTGACTAAAACCTGTTTTTTTTTGGTTATTTGGCAATACTGTTAATGAAATATAGTGTTTTTTAATGACCTTCGTTTTTGTTTCTTCTTCTAAAACCTGACAATCATTTTTGTTCTGTAGTTTTTTTTTGTTGCCAAACTACAAATTTAGAATGATTCTATGAAAAAAGAAAACAAATTAAACAAATTGTTCAGGGCGTGACAATGCTTTTTCATCATAAATTAACTGAAAAGCCTTGAAAATGTAATGATTCCATAAAAATTCCGTAAATTACTGAAAGGCTTTGTAAATGTAATGATTATACGGGGGTAAAAATACAAAGGTTGACAAAATTCCATAAAAATTAATTGTTATAGGTCATAAATTATAAATATATGTTCTTTAATTTCCTACAATCTTTACAAATATTGTTTTGGCTTAATATGTTTCAGGTTTTGGATGCCATTAAAAACAAAAGACTCGAGATGAAGAAGGCCGCTCGCATCCTGGGCGTATCCTACGGCACTCTTTATGGGCGTTATCGCGAGGTATATGGCTGTCTAAAGCATCCTTATAGGTGAGTTGGTTTTTTTCAAGGCGGTAGTTTATATTTGTAATCCCTATATTATTCCGATTTAGTGGCACCGCCTTCCGCAACTCGGGATCCACCGCGGCGAGCCAGTTGGGAGTTCAGCCTCGCTTCGATTTGGGATTTCGAAATGGCGGTGTTCTGCCAGCTCAACTGGGTAAGTTAAATAAAAAAAATCCTGGGCGAAGGCCAATACAAACTCACTGGGGAATTAAGTCCAAACCAATCCCTACTTGCAGAGCTGGGCAAGCTGAAGAAGGATCTGAGCGAACTATGGACACGTCCGCAGATTTGAGGACCAACCAAGGCCGCAACCATGAAGAAACTACAGAAAAATCTCAAACGACGCCACAGGCTGATCTAGGATCACAAGGATAAAAGACAGCTAGACGAGGCTAGTTTAAGGTCCCGAAACACACAAAAACCCTTTCCTAAATCAATTTCCACATTAATTTGTTGTACACCTCGGGTCACAACTATAACTGATCTTCTACACATTTAGGATCCTAATATTACATAATATATATAATATTACTACATGTCTATATAAATATACGTTTAATGCCGAGGCACGCGTGGATTAGTTAATTGAAATACCTATTATAAATACACACGGGCACGTGTTGTTCTAGAGATAAATTACATTTCTCTTGGTAGTGAAATTCAAAAACATAAACTATGGAATCTAGTTAATCGATAATACGAAACAAAAGTGAAGTGAATTTTTTGATAAGCTAACGGAAACGAACACAAACAATATGTATTACATACAAAAAATATGTTTAAAACGAAATAAAATAATATCTATTAAAATTATATGTGAAGCGACATGAAGTAATTTCTTTTTTTGGATTCAAAACATGGCGGTAAAAAGTTGCTATCGATATTTTGGATAGCAGGACACATAACAGTTCGGTTAACATTTCTAGTCGGTAGCTTTTTTTTTTACCTTTTAACAGCATACTTAATTTTTAAACAATAATATTAGGTTATTATTAAAAAAAAATTTAATATTGATAATTATGTATTTATTTTACATAGCAGCCAGGGTATTCTTTAACATATATATATATATAATGTACATATATAGTTTTTAGTAAATAAGAAAAATATACATTTTACATTTATAGCATACAAACATTAATCTTTATAGGAATACCTTTATTTAGACCAGCAGCTGACATATTCTGTTACTTAACAGTGAACAGCTGATTTTGTGCTTACTTTTTCTGTTACTTGACAGTGACAGCTGATTTTAACAAATGAAATTATTTGTGGTGCGTTTTCAGTTTAAATTTCAAAATGCTGTTAAAAACAGTGGATATAAATGGAGAGCAGCATTTATTAACCTGCTTTGAAGAGGGCGATGACGGAGACTTAACTTTTTATATTCTCAATTTCCGGAAGAACGTGGGTTACACAGAGACTATTCCGAAAAATGCTTTCCAGCTGCGTTTAAAGGTGAGTCTCTGGTAATAACAATAATATATTACCCCTTAAAATATGTTTGACCAAAGCTAACCAAATCATCTCCTGCAGATGCTCAATCCACGGGTCAAGTTCCCAGAGGATGCAGTGCGTCGTGTTTTGGTTGAAACAGATCCTTCGCATGCCGAACTCGTCGAGAGCACACTCTCCCTGAAATATACCATGGCTAATACGACAGTACCTCTTAAATGGTACTGGCACTTGGTTTCGCTAAACAGTGCACAGGTAAGGAACTGATTTGTCCCAACTAAATCAAGAGATTTATAACAATTTGCCCCTTATTGCATCCATAGTTCTATCGCCAGATATGCATCCACTCCATGGCCACGGCTGGAGTATTGCAGGATCAGATTCTCTCTCTGATAGAGGTCCTAAGATCCAAGGACAATGAGCTGAAACAGTATCGCATCGAGGGATGCAAGCTGCGCAGGGGTTAGGCTCCAACTTACTAACTTTATATATGCCAAAAATATAAGCTTTTCATTATGTATTTACTCTATAAGCCCCATTCATATATAGTTTTTCCATTTCATTATCGCATTTACATCAATATAAATTTAATTATCTAACATCCTCCCATTGCTTAAAAAAGGCAAAAGATAAAAAATTATCTATAATTCCAGTATTATGAATATACAAGTAAATATATTACATCAAATTTTATTTAATTAATAAAAAATGAAGCAATTCTTTAGTCTTTTAAGTTAAGAACTTTATAGTACCCCAAGGAATCACATTTGATAGGGGACTATATTATAAACTTACCTCTGTAATTTTCACAACGATGAAATAATTTAATATAGCTTGTCAAATAATTATCTAGTATTGATAATAATAATGTATTCCTTCTCTTTTAGTGACTGCAGTGACAAAGCCCTTCAATATCAAGGCTTTTATGGAAGAGCACCAGAAATTGCTGAATGATGCCCGTGCTTACCAAAAAGTGAAGGACGTATTTGCAGTGGAAGTTCCCTCGAATCCGTCGTCTGCTTTTTCTTCACCCATGCTGGAGGAAGCCAAAGTCAAGACTCCATCAACTGGCTCCATGGAAACATGCAGCTCAAAGTTGAGTCCACGCAATAGGTACGATTTGGGAAGGCAATAATATCGTAGAGAAATTCCTTTTATATTCCTTCTATATATTTTCAGAAAGCGCAAGGCCCTGGAAAGCAATACCAATCATATGGAGCGCAAGGTAATGCAGCGCCGATCTAAACCGCAAATCGAATACAAAAACTCGCAGAGTTCGCAGGAGACAAATGTGGATGATTGGCTAACAGAGAACAAGCCAAACGTTAAGAAGGAAACTTTAAAGGATGGGCCCTCAACATCAGCCAACATTAGCGAAGGAAGTTATGCAAAACTTTCCAAAATAAATGCAACCGTGGGAACGGCGCAAATTAAATCAGAGCCCGCCCAGGAAATTGGATCTAGCAAAAATGATTACTCTTCTTCAGACGAAGATGTGGAGGAACCTAAAGAATCTTCAGAAATTGTAGAAATTATCCCACAAAAACCGGCATCAGTTCAGGAAATAGTTGATTCTCCAGCACTTTATGTTGAAGAAACGGAAAACCCAGATTCCCAGACAGAAAACGGAGTCCCCAAAACCGGACTAAGTGAACTGGACGAGATTAAAGCCATACTTAATCGCGCAACAGCCATTACCAAAAAAGTAATTGAGAAGCATGGAGTTAACAAATAAGAGGAGTACGGAAATACTCTCACTCTTAATGGTGCTGCAAGTCGATTCTCAGCTCTGCACCACATTTGTTTTGTTTTTGTTACTGATTAAATCGAACACTATAAATCCCCAATGATAAGGGATACAATTCGATATTAAATATCTAATAAATTATATTTTCATTTGAATATTAACAGGAATATCTAGTTTCGTTGTCACTCGATCAAATAAGTTTACTTTGACATATTTGATTGGCTGTTTTTATTTTGTCGATTTGAATGAGAAGGATTATAAAAGAATCCACCATTATATATATAGGCTAAGTCCCCTGTACATATAGAGAATTCTTATCTCACACCATACCATATTGAACGATATCTAGTTATTCCTGTTTAATGGTGGGAAAAATCCAGGTCTACTTATCAGCCGATTAGTCACGGTTTTGTGTGGGAGCGCCACTCCGAGATTCATGCTTATTATTATTCATTTTTCTCAAGTGGTTTTGGTTTGTGCAATATTTAATACATATACTCTATGGTAAAATATCCAATTTAATGGTTATTTATTTAGTTAAAGAGATAGAACTCATCGTGCTAAAGGAATAGATTTATGGTTTAGCACATAGGCAACAAAACCAATAATAGTTTATGAATAGTAATATTTTTGTGTGTATATTTTTATAACTTAATTTATTAAGTTTTTAAGACTATGTAAAAAATATTTAAATACTATAAATAGTTATACAATGTTGTGGGTATTTTTCCTCCCAAATGTATAAAGTAGGTTAGAACAAAAAAGCCAATATTTTGAAGACACCTGGCTTTAGCGAGGTATAGTTGCTATGGCTTCATAGATTTGGAGCTACCCCAGTGACCAAATCTATTCGCCTCTAGTGCCATCGAAATCAAAAATGAATTTTGCTCTGATTTGGCATTTGTTTACTTTTATGGCACCCGATCGAGCCATAGAACGCTGTTGTCGATGGGCTGCTTTGGGGCTTTGGCAACATTCAATTTACGCACAGTTAGTGATAAGATAACCCATAGGCACCCACAAGTAATATCAACTGGCCATGGGTCTGATGGCTCATTGCGGTGGCTCGATTCAAGAAATTCGGTCGATAATTGTAACGGACGACCAATTGAAAGCGTATCTTTTATATAGTTTTTGAACTTTTGGAACTTTTAAAAGTGGCAAAGAAATGGCCAAAATCTTTTTGGCCATATCGCTGCTCCTAGGAGTTCTGGCCTCCGGCGAAAGTGAGTCATGGATTGATCGTTATCAATCTGCATTGAACTACAAAATGTAACTTTAATTTACCTTCAAATCAAAGCAATTTAATTGTTAGCTAAGTGAACTCAAAAACAGTGAATGCATTTCCGAGAAAATTTGATATACAAAACTCAGATAACTCTTGAAAACCTTTTCTTTTGCTCTTTGTTTTGGTTATTTTTTTAAACAATAGTGCGTGGTAATTTGCCAAGATTAAAGAACATAATGTTAATAACAATTAACAAAAAATACCCATGGATGTTGCTAAGTTTGATTTGAAAGATTTAATAAATGTGTTTTCAATGGTTTTAATTCTATCTATAAAGTTATAAACCTTTTATTTATAAAAAACTTTAAATAACGTCTAAAACTTTAACTAGAAACTGTTTTCGTTTACAATCTTTTTTATTATAATGTGAATTATATCAAAAGCAGGTAGGGAATTATTTAACTGATTATTACCATGACTCAATATATTATTTTGTTTCTAAACGAAAAAAAATGTCTGCTTTCTTATGACTAATAAAGATATTCGGATTAAATAATGACCAACAATAATTTTCCAACTAATTTTCCGATCACAAAAGCTTCGATTAGATTATTTTGTCTTTCCATTCCTATATAAGTAGCTATAAATCGCTCAACATATAAACTTGTATCATAATTCTTAAGTACTTTCTTGTTAGGACAACAATTGCACCTATCTCTTTGCCACCGATAAACAACTATTGTTCAGAAATGTATTTTTTATGGGTAATTGTGTACTCAAAGGGGGTTTATCAGATGTCATTGAATGTTGGACATGTCCATGAACGATATTTAATACTGTTTGCAAATATTATTTTATAGATTGCAATTCATTTCTTTGAATGTTTGTATTTTATAAGGCCTTAGAAACCCTAATGAAAAATATTTAATATTAATTCTTTTGCAGATCTGGAAACCGCAAAGATTGAGCCCAAAATTGTGGGAGGTAGTGCGATATCCATTGAACAGGTTCCCTACCAAGTGTCCATTCGCCTGACCGCCAACGATAGGAAAAGCTATGGCGCCGGACATTTGTGCGGCGGAGTGGTGATTTCCCAGCGTTTGGTGGCCACAGCCGCCCATTGTTGCTACAAGTTTGTAAAGGTTTTCCTTAAGATTGCGTATATATTTCAATCATTTGTCATTCTTGCAGCCTTAATACAAACAAATATCGAACGGCTGGCGAATATGTTTTGGTCATGGGCAGTACCTATTTGAAGAGCTCCACGAATCTCACCCTGGAGTACTATCTGCAGCAGCTGATCGTCCATGAGTCCTACAATCCGGACACCCTGACCAACGACATTGCACTGATGTTCATCAACGGATATATTCCCTGGGAATGGCCAACAGTAAAGGCATTGGCGCTGAACACCCAAGTTGTGGCCACGAGCACCAACTGCTTCATCTCTGGATGGGGTCTGCTCAAGCAGGTAGGTGCTGATCACGTCCTGGGTTGTAACAAAATAACCAATAATATTAACTTGATTACCGAGTTTACATTATTTACCATATTAACATATGAATGTCTTGGGATTCTCTTGATTTAATACTCTAATTTAAAGAACCAGCTTATAGGGAAATTGCATATGTTATGGCCAAGTAAATTGATTTTAATTCCTTTTGAAGATTTTTAACAAAGTGTTAAGCAAAAGAATTTTTCTGCCTTATCACTTAGACAAAACAGATAATCTATCTATTATCCGAAAAAAAGTTGGCAGTATTAATTTGATATTCAACGGTCAACAAACTCGTATAAATTTTTACCATTGAATAATGTAAAATTGATATTAAGTTCATCAAAACGAGTCTCATTTCATATACAATTTTTTTTTCTGTGCATAAGAATGAAATGTTTAAAAGCCAATTTGCCAAATTTGTATCTAAGTGATAAAATGGTGTTCAAACACAAGGATAGTTTTAATACATAGCAATAAAGTGAGGGAAAATTTAATATTACTTCAAGTCGAAGGGATAGAAAATTTATAATAGGAAGATAGATAGATAATAATAGATAATTGACTGTTTTTCAAACAATTAACAAATAAAACCTGGGTTATTGAAAGCCAGTGCTCAAAATTTAGATTTTAGTAAGTAAATATTGTCTTAACACGAGGTGATTAACACAAGTAAATGGCACAATATAAATTGTTATTTTAGACACCATTATATGGGATTTCAAAAGTCACTCTATGAAACATATTTGGTTATTATGAAATAAACATAATGTGTATCAGATCTCATTTAGTATTTCTAAGATTTATTAGCTGCCTATGTCAGTAATATAATTTCTTTTCAGTCGGCGTCATCCAGCAGTAACACCCTACAGGCGGCCACGGTGCCCATAGTGGCCTACACCACCTGCCGAATTTCGTACGGATCAGTGCCGATTTCGCAGGTGTGTGCCGGATATTTGGCCGGAGGGACGGATGCCTGCCAGGGCGATTCCGGCGGACCTATGAGATGCAACGGGCAGTTGGCCGGAATCGTTTCCTACGGCTCCGGATGCGCAATGGCCGGATATCCGGGCGTCTACACTAATGTCTCGTACTATCAGGGATGGATCGTTCAGCAGAACAATTCGCTGAACTACTCGCACTATCACAACGGAGGAATACGGCTGGGATCGGGGTGGTCCTTCCTCGGGTTCCTTCCACTGATCCTGGCCTTCGTCCTGGATCACAGAATCTGGTCGTAGTTTTTTTTTAAACCTAAATAGGTAATAATAAATTAATTCAAATTTTTTAAAAAATACTTTTACCTCTATTATGATGATTGGCCTTCGATATCTCAAACTGCTATTATTTTTACTAAATTGTTATATAATTGTTTGCCACCGATTTGTATGACTGATTTACCATTAAAGATTTTGTGTTGATTTAAAATTTGATTTTGTTCAAAAGTTTCTGAAAATATTTTTATTTATAAAACTATTGCTTGCAAAATTAGCACCAAGAAAAAAAATCACAAACCAATGTTTAAGTTCGCTCAATATTTTCTAACAAATAATTTAATTTCATTTAAACCTCTATATAAAAGATTACTTTTCGTATACATATATCTATATATCCAAAGCTTAAAATTTAAATTTAAAATAAATATGGAAATTATAAAAAATTATGTAAAATAATATTAAAGAAAAATTTTATTTGGAAGAGTATACAGTAAAAAAACAACAAATATGTTTTTCTTATAAAAATTGATAATTTGATTTCATGTATCGCTAAAACATCGATCTAAACATCAATTTAAAGGCAGTTTTTTGTGATTGAATTTTTTTTTGATTTTTTTTCCCAATTCTGGTCGAGTTTTTTTGTGTTTGGCTGTGAATTCAAATAAGTTTTTGGAGTGTTACCGCCCCCTATGGACCTGCGATGGGCGTGCCTGCTGCTGCTGATGTCGTTGATTTTGGCGATTTGTCCAGGTGGGAGCCACCCCCAAATAAGCCCACCGACGGCCACAGCCGCGCCCATTGTCATCCTGCCGAAGGTGGTGGGCGGCTACTCGGTGACCATTGACCAGGTGCCCTTCCAGGTGTCCGTGCGCCAGCGATCGATCCACGAGAGGCACTACGGGATGGGCCACGTGTGCGGCGGAGCGGTCATCTCCCAGCGGGTCATCTGCTCGGCGGCCCACTGCTACGCCATGTGGGTGAAAGCCGCCATACACTGGGCGAAATTAGCCATATTGATGGGGTACTTTCTCTTGACAAGCCTAGATAA